CCTGCTCCCGGGTGGGGCTTTCCCCTTTGCAACCCTACGAGGGGTGGCAGTGCCACGGGGGGGTCTCTTGGGGGACTGTTTTGCATCTTTTTTTTGATTGATTCCCCTTCTCTAAAGGGGACCAGAAAGTGGCAGCAGCAGGGGCTGCTCTGGCCTGGATTGATGCCAACCATTACGTCACCAGCTAGAGCCTCTTCTGCTATTGTTGCTGCGCTCCCTCCTTCTCTCCATCTCTCCGCTCCGCTGTGAACTGGGCTTGTTGTTCTGCAGCTTTTTGTCAGACAAAAACCCCGAGATCCCTCTGCCTCCCCAGACAACAGCCCCGGGCTGGAGAGGTGGGCCCCCTCGTAGCATAAAGATTGCTGCTGGGACAGTGCGGAGCTGCTCGTTATTGTTGCTGAGCCATATTCCTCCTTTTCTGGGTTCCCCATCACTTGTTTTGTGGCTTTTATCCTCCTTTCTCTAGTCCTTTCACTTGTCTTTATCTTTTAAAGCCTTGGCTCTCCCCTCCCCTCTCTCCTCTGAATATTTTGTTTCTGCTCCAGTTTCTTGTGAGCAGCCCTTTGCTTGCCTGCCTTCCAGTTTGGTGACTTGTTTCATAAATAGGCAGTACTTTCCTTCCAGCTTTGTTGTTGTTGTTCAGATTCTTTGCTCTGCAGCTCTCAGCTGTTAGCCAGCCTCACAAAGGAATCGCTAACACACAGCGAAATCGCTCCATCGCTCCGATGTGTCACCGATGGGAGTTATGATTTCATTTTCCCGAGGACATCGACATTCACATGATAATGTGAGACTTGGAGCAATTGGGTTGTTCAGCTGTTTTGGTTCTTCCCCCTCTGACACAAACACCTGGAAGCTGGGGTAAACTGCCCGTTGCAAAAGCTGTTGATGTTAGATATGCTGCTGATCAAGTGGCAGCAAAATAACAAATGCTGCATAGTGTGCATAATCCATCTTGTCTGTTAAAGGGAGCCTGACCTACCAATTGCTCCAACTAGTAGGTGTTTGTGTTCCTTGAAAGGCAAGCTGAGGAGGGGATCCTGTGTTCTGGTACCACAAAGTGGCTGGATTTCTGTTTTCCACTAAGTTACTGGACTTGACAGCAGATTTGCCTCTTTGCAGGCTTGTTAAAAGGTTCCTTTAAAGAACAGCAAAGTAAATTCAAATAGGTTCTCAGGCATCCCTTCCTCCCACGATATCTGTTTTTCAGTGGACTCTGGCTGAATATACCCCATTTCTTTCTCCTTGAAGACCTAGAGCCAAGGGAAATCCTGTCTGAGGAAATAAGAGCTCAGAATCTAGAGTGGGGAAGGATAAAATGACTTACTAAAATGGCTATGCATGCTTAGTTACAGAGAGGGTCGGACACTTGGCTGTCACAAGCACTTTGTGGTGTTTGTGGGTGAACTCACAGTGGTGGTAGGTAGTGAAGTCTGCGGCTCCAGACGTTTGGAGAAAGAGTGCGGCTAGATGGACTGAAAGCCTTTGGTGCTTTTCTGGCTTCCATTTTAACAAAAGAAATGATGCCCAGTATTGATATTTGGCCTCTTCTGTGTGGGGAGCAGGCTGATAAAACTAGCCCACCCTTCTCTTGACAGAAG